ACGAGAAGCCGGCCTTATATATCGGTAACGATCGTTCTAGAATTCTATAGTCGTTTCGGTACTCAGCTAGAGTTTAATCGGCGGTTGCCGACTGAATTCCTTTTGCGGTGATGCCATGTGCTAACACATGTTACAATAACTTTTGCAATTTTTTATGTGCTGAAAAATGAGCCATCACAGGTATTTTTCCGACCATCATATCTATTTTTCACCATTTTCAACTTGTGAATTGGACTACAACAAAATATTAAAATAGTCAACTGACAACTTTGTATCAATTATAGTTGTCCAAAGCCATACATAGAGATAACTTGGAAAAAAGCATAGTATAGTATTGCTGCTGTCCTTACGAAATTATATTGAAGGTGGCCTTGAAAAACATTCGTTTCCAACTTGTTACAAACATGTGTCAAAAAACCCAGAAAATGTGATAATTTTAGGATCGAATAGGTTTTGGGGCATTCAAGTCCTTTATAATGCGTTGCTGGATAATTTGTAGGCAAATCCATACATGAATTTAATTTAATAGTGGATCGTGCATAAAATACTAACTTTTTGCATGATTGTGGAAAAAAGTCTATGTGGTCACTAGATTTAGGAAAATTGCCATACTATTATTATAGATGTAAAACGGAAGATACGGCTTCGAAAGGTAAACTAAACTACGAGTAATTATCAGATTATGCATTTTATTATCAAAATTAAGTTATACTTTGAATACAGAAAAACCTGTTTAAGCAAAGGTATAGTAAATATTCAAAGATTGTGCGGTGATGTTTTCATACTGTCTAACCATAAACTAATTTGACATTTCTGCTTATTTATATACAAATGCTAACAAAAATGCTGTACAAAAAATATTTACATCAACAAATAATATCCTGTCTAATTTCATCATTGTTCGTTCACAATATCAACAATAAGACACAGATTTTATCTCTGCTCGGAAGAAATTTTGGAGCACAAATTTCACTATTTTCTTTGTATTCATTTCTTTACTGGAAATAACTTACGTAACCAAAACTTTCAATAACTGCACTAGATAATGGCGAATCAATTTTATTTTCAAGTCTGTGTTTTAGTATATGTAGGAGTAGGAGTATGACAGTAATGTCCCGGACCTTCCAAAACCTTCGCGGAGGCCGCCGTGGAACACCTCAAGGTTGCCAAAGAGAGTGTGTGTTCGGCGAGACTTGGCCTACACCTGCTGGAGGGACCTAGGGACCTGTCCACCTTCCTGAGAAGGACAGGATGGATGATGACCTAGGAGGAGGAGGAGGAGGGGTCTACACTTACCCTCCCTAATCCCACCCACTTGTTTACAGATACAGAGATACAGTTATACAATGATATGCTAGCTGAACATCAAAACATACAACTTATTGTTATTGAGATACCAAGTTCGTTCTGGTATCTCCGACTGAGACTTAGTCATTTCCTGATGATGTTAGTTTGGTTAGCGAAACGCACGTCGGGAAACAGTATTTTTGATCTGGCGAGGGTAGAGTGGTTAATGATGTTAGTGAAATGGAACTAAGCGTAAATTCAGTTGAAACTTTAAGCTCAGGGAAAAATTGTGCACGTACAATTTTTTGGATCCTCAATGTATTGCTTGATCACTCTATATGTTTTATCGAAACGTCACAAACAATTCCAAATATAAATAGTACAGTTCAGTGAAATTACAAAAAACGTGGTATCTTGTCGGATCACAGGTCACAACAATAATTAATAGTAGCCGCGTTATTACAGAATAATTAATTTCATTTCTGACATGTTTAAAAACAATACGTCCCACTTATGCCTATCGCAAAATATGTGTTGTTTTCATGTACTTGAATTTCTCAATAACAACGCCGTAATATCGACACATTGTGTTTTGCGTGTAATTTAGATCGATCCATTCGAGTATTTACATTTCTCACACGTAATCTACATTGATATGAAAGTGACACATTTGTACTCCAACAACAATTGAGAAACACCGATATAGCCATCCCATAACAAAGATATTTGAGTGACGACAAACTTATTGTTAATGGAATTCCTTAAAGATTTAAAACGAGTGGAAGTGTAGTACGTTGAAATATTCAATTTTTCTTCAATCTTCGTTTATCATGAATTCTATTAACATCATTATATACATCTTCTAAGGAATAACGAAGGAACAGATTAACCATTTGACCACAATTCCTTGATAACTTCTGCGAACGCTTTGATTAAAGCATCCTTCATACTAGAAATACTAGTACTGCTATCTTTCATGTATTCATCCTTTTTGAAATATTCCAGTAACCATCATAAATTTTGGATTCATAAAACCCATTAGTCTAAGATCCGAACCTAAATCGACCTTCACCGAGTTGATAATAGAATGAAATATATTTTATAATGAATTTAGTATATTAGAAAATATGTTG